GGGAAAGAGCCATAACTTTAAAATTACTGTAATATTAATTGATATCCATTCTCCAGATGAAATGCTGAATGACAACATCTCTAGCAGCTCTATGGTCAGGGATTGGGGTGGAAATTGAATCAAATAAGACAAAATTTTCTTTCTCCACAAAATACATTATAACTTGGATTATTGGCAAGGAAATATTTTTGCACAGTTTAGAGTTGCTGCTCTGTAGATATCTGCTACTTCAGTCATAGTATGTTAAGATAACTCTAAATGAAAGCTCCTGTGTGAAATCAAACTCTGGACAGTATTTTGTACTTTAATGAGGATTCTTTTACAAAATATTCCATTATGGCTAATGAGATATTAGCAACGAATGCACTAGAAAGGACAGATGGGAAGATAGTCAACTGTTTAAAATAGAAGATTTTCAAAGTGCAGTAAACAAATTATAAAGCACACTTCTCTGGCTTAATGCCAATCTATACTCTAGGGAACTGGTCAAAGAGTGGATCATTAAAAGCTTTTCAGGAGCAGCTAAATTCTACAGCTGTGGTCTTTGTTTTTCTAGTACTTTGCAAGAACAGAAGGGGGAATTACGAAAGCGTCTATCGTACACTACCCATAAGCTGGAAATGCTTGAAACGGAATTTGATTCTACACGTCAGTATCTTGAAATAGAATTGAGACGTGCTCAGGAGGAACTTGAAAAAGTAACTGAAAAACTGAGAAGGTTAGTAACTAACTTTTTGAAATAGAGAGAGTTATTAGGAATTTACAAGTGGCTGTGTTAAAGACATATGTAAGTAAAAATATAAGCATATAGTTTCAAACACACATAATTTATCATTTATTGATTGCACATTGTGTTTTCATATGGAATATATATATTTCACTTATCTGAACATATATAACAGACCACATGAAGTTATTTACATATGTAAGATGTTTCTGTATTGAAAGTAAATATGCAACTAGAAATAAACCTATACAGGTGCATATATGATATTATTTATGTGTAAACACACATGTGGGTTAGTGTCACATTGTGTTACACATACAAAGGTTATAAACACACTACATATATATACTTATACTATATATATACAGATAAATGTTTTTTAATTAATTTGGCTGCATTTTTTCTGTTGTTACTCTCCATTGCTCTGATACAAGAGAATAGAATTTGGCCCTCCATCACTCAAAGCTGAGACTATGTTCAATTGAAATAATATTATGACATTTCACATTACGATATGGCAAATCATTTGCTTTTTAGTCCTAAGTAGAATGGAATGATACTGAAAACCTATTATTTAAAATTATTGAAGTTGCGGTACAGTCCTATTGCAAATCAGGGACCTGGTTAATGTTAATGATAAATTATAGTAAGCATGCACTCCTGACGTTCCTGGCGCTGATTAAAATGGTCTGTAATCTAGCTTTAAATTTATCAGTGATTCTTAATACGCATTTTTTCATTTGTTTGCAAAACTTCTGAACCTACAATTATCCATTTATGCAGGAATGTATTTGCATTTCTTGTGAGACTTTCCTAAACTGATGTAGATAATTGAACTGTTTGATTTAGTTCATTGGATGAGTCAAAATGGAATTCAGAATGAATCATTCCAGGGCCATATCCAAAGAAATATTTTTCATTCCTTGCAGAAGGCAAAAACCAAACCAAAATAAAGCCAGAAACCACCAACAAACTGAGTCAACCAAACCATTTTTTGCAAATTTTAAACAGAATGAGGCTGTAAGACCTCAAATTAAGAAACATCCCAGTGTGGTCTTATAACTTAAATGCTTCCCTAACTGGGGAAGCTTCTTAAAACAAGGCTAAACTAAGTAGGTGTCATGATGATCTTGAAATCTACACACATCAAAAGCGGCCTGGAGGTTCTCCATATTGTTTTCTTGCCAACAATACTTTCCTATCACCCTACCTAGAGCAGAGCTATTGAAAGTAACTTCATTCTTGATGTAGTTTTACTCCAAGTCATTACAGGGCAAGGAACACTGGTACTCTTTTCTGCTGAAGCATTATTTCAGACTCAGCTGCCATAAATCAGCAGAGCTGCTGATCATCCCACTTCTGTTAAAACAAAAGGGCCTTCTAGACAGTAGGAAGTGTCTTATCAGCTTCTTTGGGCACTGATGAGTTAAGCACCCTTCAAAACTCAGGCTGGGCAGTCTTTCTTTGCTCATGGCAAAGTCTAATGCTCATATCCAAACATCAGATTAGTAGAACTAACTTTCCAATATTCTAGTGGAACATTGTACCACATTATGAAGAAAACTTATATTAAAAATTATGTTTCAGGCAGGTGATTACTCCCCTGAAGACGTACCATATTGGAAGTCCAAAATATTATATGAGGTGAGCTTTAAAAATGTTTCTATTGAGAATAGCAAGGCATACCATAAATTGAACAACCAGATTTCTCAACCTGGAGAAGGATAATGTCTGAAACAAAACTGTCATCCAAAAGTGTGTCAGCAACATATCACAAAGGAAAATCAGTGTAAGAAAAACAAGGAAATAGAATTAATTTCAATAATGTGCCTGCTGCTTTATTCACTGCACAGGGAGAGAAATTCAACCTCCCCTAATAAACGAGCCATATGTAACAAGATCCCAGTCGCATACTGAAGAACATTTCTGTTATTAACCTTCCATTTCTGGGAAGTACAGAATTTTTGTGAGAGGCTGAATGGCCACCCTTTTCTACTCATTTCTGAAAGCCTTTATTGTCTTACTTTATCTAGAATTACCTGTGTTGGTGCTAGGCCTCCCCTCTCTTACCCAAGCAAGGAAGTCACTTATGTGACTCAATGGTCAAGTTTTTGACCTCTATAAACATTTAGAGGTAGCCTTTTTCTTTTTTCCCAGTGGGAGCAAGAGCAGGGCAGTGCTGAGTAGATTTGAAAGTATTAGCTGTAAAGCATAGGTTCATCTTTGAAAAGTGACTGAAAAGAGATTGGGGATTTCATATACCTCAGAGTAGATCCCTATTTGACATGACCAGTATGGGGTTTTTAAGTTAAAATTTTTTAAAAAAATTCAAATACCAGTCTTGGAACCAAAATTGGACTTTTGTTCTTCGTTGGGTTTCTTCGTTGAGACCCTACCCTGGATAACAACTTGATGAGGACCTCATCCTAGCTTTTACCAGAGAGTAGAGTTAGTTTAAGACACAAGAAATAAACCCATACCAGCATGTATTTAGCACCGAGATTAGCCCAGACACATAATTGATTCACCAAAAGCAAGACATTTTACAGACTGAAGGGGTGTTCTGGACAGGAATCCTGTAGCTGTGTTAGTTCTGGAATAAATGGGGGAAAAACACTCTTGTTTTAATAAGGACTTCAGTGTAACTTGTGATACCAGAGAGGGAAAAGATTTTTTGAACAAGGAGTTACTATTTTAACAGTGACTCTTCAAAGCTAAACTGTACTCCGAGCGAATTCTCTTCTTCAAAGTCAGACCAAACCTGTGTTTTACTTTAGATTTATTTCATGGCCTTAAGAGGGCTTAAGACTGAGTGGAAGCAGAGAAACAGAGGCATTCACAGACTTCCTCTTTAGTGGCGATCTGCAATCTTAGAGAGAAGTATGTTGTCTGCTGGCTTAGAGCACAGACACCTAATGTTCAATATGGTCAGAATATTTTTCATTAGGCTTTAATTTGGCCAAGAATCTAAACATGCGTTTAATGCATGCACATATATGCAGCTGGAGGCACATGTTATCACCTAATAATATGAACAACACAAAAAGCCATCGAAAAATGATAAGAAGTTATGGGATTCATGTGAGTTTATCTTTATAGCAGTTTCACACGGTAGTGAAGCTGACCTACTCTTCGCTTTATTTACGAAGAAACCAGACTTACAATATTAAAAGCTTTCATACTTCACAATGTTCAGGCTATCTGGGTGTATTATTTCTGCAAACAGGGTTCAGTTACTGTTTGCTCATCAGATCATTTTCAAATTTGAATAATTTTCCCTACTCCTTTATTTTACAGTGTTGCCCAAAGATTGGATTGATTACTCTGTTCCTCTTGAATCCTTTTAACACTTTCTTCTACATATTTCTGGGTCCATTTCTCTCCTTGCCACCCACATTTGCTGACACTTCTTTTGGCACAGTGGATTTCCAATTTGGGTTTTATACATATGTGTGCATGTGTATATGGTTGTGTATGTATGCACATGCTTCTGTTTATTCTGACTACTTTTGCATATTGTCCTCAATAGAAACACTTTCTGAAGCTCAGCTTCCTACTTATTGTGGATTTTTTGTTTAGACTGGATTAGGTTTCACTGGGAGGTGGTCAATTTTTTCAGTGCAAAATGAATGTGTTAGAGAAGTAAAGTTTGTGGGCTACTTTCTCCTAAACATACAACAGAGGAAAATTTGATGGGCAAGACAAAAGAAGTTACAAGCAGAGAAGCAGATTGTGATAAGCTCTTGCAAAAGCCCTCTACCACCTATGGCATGGAAGTGTTGCCATCCGAAAGCAGTTATATTAATGGTAACCAACCTTCCAGTCATCCATATCAAGAGAAAAAGTGTCAGCAGAAGCTGAGGAGCAAATCCAGTGATGCATTGCCACCATCATAAGCCAGATATCTAACTAGCATTTACTGCTGGCTTTATTCAGGCTCCCAAAGTTATGGAAAGGGAATCTTCAGGGTCTCCCTTGAGCTTTCCACATAGGTCTATACTGCACAACAGACTGGAGTACAAAGACACCTGAGCCAGAAAAGCCCTGAAGCAATATTTTTTTCCTCTTTCTTTCAGGAATTTACGCAGATGCTTTTGAATTCATGCAAACTTTTAGGAGGTTGCAGGTGCTAAATGTTTACATTGGTTTTACGTGACTTCTACTTGAGCCACAAGCTGCCTGGGTGCAAAGCAAGTTTAACCTGTTTTATTTTGCTTGACTAGAGGAAAATTGTAGACCATGACAGAGAAGATACTGAGGTACTTCTGGTCTCGGCCAGCAGACCCTGTCTTATTTTCCTAAATCCTTATTCCCCGCACCATGGCACGCAGTCTTACCAGCCAAACATAACTAGGTTTGCGCTGAGTAACTGTTTGCAGGCAAAGCCAGTTTAAGCCTCCTTGCTTCCACTGCTTTACCAAGATCATCTCTGCCTTCTCCAGTGCCATGAAAAGCTGGATACAAGGTACCCTGAGATTTCTCTCTATTGTGTTGACAGCTAAATAGCTGTGAACATGCTAAGTGTAACCAGAGCTGCACAAATAAATGTCTATACAGAGGCTTAGTGCTGTGTCTAATAGGAGCATGGACAATACAGAGATCCATAAACTTCAGTCAGTCCTTTAAGCCACCTGGACATTTACAGAATGGCACCATGAGAACTGGTGAGCAATGACCAAGCTGTAGGTCAGTTACAAGTCTCACAGATTTTCAGCCTATTTGGGTCACCACCTTAGCAAACACTCTTTACCACAGCTCCTACTTACAGGGAGGAAATCTCTGCTCAGCAGCACTGTAAAATGTACATGATGCTGAAACTTCCCCCAGGCTCACAATGCACGCTTGAAGCAGCTGTCCTGAGTCTGGGCTGACCCCCAGTACCCTGGGGAGTTTCACTCGTGGGGATATCATTATTTACGCCCACAGAGCAGATGTCCTCAGCACAGACCTCCCGTCCCAGGTCCATGTGTCAGATGTTACTGTATTACTGGGAGCTCGAGACAGAGCTCTGCATGACTCGCAAGGGGTACCACGAGCTGCTGGCCTGCCCCTGAATGGAGAATTTTGATCATTTAACTGGAAAGAAAATCTCCATGGTAACAGAAGCAGGGAGAGACCTGAACCATAACATCGCTTCACTACCAGGAAGGTGTGGGCGGGCCCCCTTGATTCTCAGCCATGGCATGGTTCGAATGCAGATCTTTATTCTGGTTTCAACAGCCACTCCTAACCATACGATAAGCCAAAGAAACTTCTTTAACCCCAGTCCCTTCCTGATCATCATGGAAACTACACCCAGAACCAGGCTTCTCAGAGGAAGCGTCTTTCTGCTGAATAAATGTGTATTACATCTGAGTTCACTCTTATAGTGAATGCATTTGCACATTACCTAAAATCAACTCACACCTGACCTGTTGACCTAAGATTCTCAGTACAAACATATAGATGTATTCAGACAAACTTTTCACAGCTGAGCTTCTAACATTTGCTGTATATCTGTTATACCTACTGCTGAGGTGATATGTACAAACAAGACAAAGGAGCTACCTTCCTTACCTTCTGTGAAGAGAAAGGCACAGCTACTACCAAAATAGCAGTGTTTTTCCCACAGGCTGTGCAGCTTATTCATTACAATACCAAGGTTACCATCTAAGCAACCTAGAGATGTACAGACTGAAACTTTTCTTTGGTGTATCGCTCTGGAATAAGCAGGGAAGCCTCATTTTGTGAGTCCATTCAATCCCTCAGTGCTGATAAAATATACCAATATTTTCCAGGCTAAGATATCTAAATGCATTTCCTGAAGAAAGAAGATGAGTTTAGCTCTTGAGAATAGACAAATCCTTGAACTTCTGTGAAAAGAAGGCATATTCTCTTCTAAGTCATGTGGTGATGTCCACATATTGCTTTTGCTACAGTCATTAGGTTTCTGCTGCAATTCTCCTTATTGAGAGCTCCATAAATCTTTTTCTATACTGTCTAAGCATACAGCTCAAGCTTCCTCTCTAACATATTTTTTCTGAGCCTGATGTAAAGCTACAAAATTTTTGTGCAAGTTCCCATGCCGCGACGCATGTCTGCACACAAGTGCAGAATGGCAAACATATTTTCACTTACTGGTGGAACTTGCTGCTAAATATAGTAAGCAAACATGACAAGGAAGTTTGCTTAGGAAGTAGATGGTAATTACATTTTGAAGACAACCACTGACTGGCAACAGGAGTGATAAGAAAATAGATTTCAAGCAGTGCAAGCCAAGATTTTGTACTGATGTGAAAATTACGGGTGAAAAAAACACACAAAACTCAATGCGTTCAATTACATGATATCATCTTTGTTTTAGGATACAAAATAATTACCTAGCCTTACAAAGAATTAATCAGGATCTGGAGGATAAACTTTACAGAATGGTAAGTTATCATAAGTCAATATTTTTTAAAATATTAAATGTGTTTTTATGGTTCTTAAGTCAAAGGACAAACGTATATGTAGCTGTCACAAAAAAACCCTCATGCTCCAAATACAGTATGCTTAAAAAAGATACATGACTTTATCAGTATCATGATCTAGAGCTCAAGCTGCGTTTGACAGTATAGCTCCATCAATTTAAACAGAGATTGCATTGGCTGATGATCTGGCTTGGTAAATTGTACCTTTAAAATAATTCTGGTTAATTTAGTTAATAACTTCATGGGTTTTAAATACTTATGTTTTCATTAAGTAATAATTTTAAATAAGGTAATCCATGGTTTTCTTATGCTTCTTAGATACTTGCACTCAGCTTTTATTAAGTGATTTAATAGAGCTTGGATGGTCTGACTTTTATATGCTGTCAAAACTATCAATCTCAGTGTATTAATTTCCAATCTGCATGTGTCTGCAACCACAATGTCAATGTTACTGCCACAGGTCAATTAATAACCGAGAGAGGAAATCACACTGCACCATTTATGGGCTCCACACCTAGGACTAATATTGCAAGACACAACACCACTCATTCAGAAGAGTATAAAGACATTAAAAAGAAATGGCAATGCCTTTAGTGCCCTGGCTCATTGCTAACGCTGCTGGGACATCATGCTCACTGTTAGAAGAAAATTTACAGAGAAATGTGAGGGTAAGGTTTAAAGAGGAAAGAATGACAGTTTTGAATCTCCAGAGATCTTCAGGTCATGAGCACAGCCTGACCTGCTTCCTCCTCTCCTGGCCCAGCACGATCGGTCTTTCTGCCCAGCCCCATACCTGGTGTGGCCCTAGCAAGCACAGTGCACACACATAAACACACGGTGTATAGGTCCAGACAGAGCCCTGATGTACAGCTGTAAGGATGGTAGGATAAGCCCACACTTTAGACAAGTCTCATATGTAATTTTTGCATGGGTGGGCAGCTTGGAATGAGGGGAACAGATTATTGTGCTTTGAGAGTAAATAGGGACTATGGCAGCATACTGGAGAGACATCAGCCTTTACTGAGAAACAGGAAACAAATTTTTTAAAATCTCATTGTTCTTATCTCAAGAGTCTGTTTAAATAGCTGACAATGAATAAAGTACTGATGCTTTTGTAACTGGCTAACAACAAGGCAAAGTTACAGCTGGGTTATAGCTGATGTTTGTTCATAAATATATGTATAAACACTGTACAAGCATAAATAACATTTGATCTCATGTTATTGGCTTTTTTCTCCACTCTTCCTTTGTTACACTCTTTTTCCTTTTACCCAAATCACTTTGGTATTTTGTCTTCATCTGTGGTCTAATATTTATTACATATGTGCTACAAAAGATGGATAAAGTAGAGGCATTCTGACTGGTAAATGAAATTAAAAGATTAGAAACATAGAAAGAAGGACTCCAGCGAATCCATGCTTTTTTATCAGGTATTTCAGATCAAAGCAAAGAATTTTTAAACTGCTGTTTCAGCATCCACTTAAAACCCCCAGAAATTGTTTCAGAGCACAACGTAGAAAGAAGACCAGTTCCATGGAGCACTGTACCTTTCTTTATCCCACTAATACGACAGTCATTGAAGGTAGCTTTAGAGGCTTGAAGAAGATCAACCAGGCTCCCTACACCACTTAACTCCAGACTGCTTTGCCTTCTGAAACACTGAAACTGAAGACAGAAAACAAAACCAAACCAATGTTAAATGGAAACTCTATTAAAAGCAAAAAGATGAGGAAAATAGTACTACTTTTGATTTAGATAAGCCAAATGATTTTATTTTCAGGGCACTCCAAAAGCCCTCAATACTTCAGAGAAAGTTGGATTAAATAACAGCTGGTCTGGTTAATAACAGCTTATGGTGAACTGGGCTCTTGGATACCTTTCTCTCCCTTTCCTGCTTAGGAGGAACAGCTGTGTTTATTTTTTTGTCTAATTTAGTCAGTTTGTCATTCCAAAATCAAAAGCCTTTGATTTCTCTACCTTTATATAAATCCAAATATATAAACCATGTGTTTGCTTTCTCCCTCTCTCCACTACCCCATCCCTCTATACACACACACACACACATATATATGTATACACTCACACATATATACACTCAGATTCTTACACAAGTTTTGACAATTTAATGTGTCCAAATGCAATAAGTAGGGAAAAGAAGACCCCTGGGGAAGTGGTCCCTTGCTCCCCCTGACTGCAGGTGACCTGGGATGCTCCCAAGAGACCACTTTCTCCCTGCCCTTACAGGTGACCCACAACTCCCCCTCTCCCAGTGACTGGCCTCAACTCATCACAACTTATCTAGGACTCCACCTTGGCCTCCCTTTTCTAATGTTTTTGGATATCCTGAAAGTTAAAGCCTTTTATGCCTGCTATTAGTATATGGGATGTAAAAAATAATCATTAATTCATCAGCAGTCACAGAAAAGAAGCTGAAGTAGCAGTTATTTTTCGTCTAGCCTCTGCTTCCTTTTGAGTGCTAATCTATGAAATATTTAAAAATATTTGAAAGCACACTTCTGATCACAGCAAATGCTATCCAATTGAAAACTCTGTCACATCAGAACTTGAAATAAAAACATAAAATATAAACCTCAGTGTCTGTATTGGCTAAGAGCTAAAAAATGCAATCCTGAAATCAGGGGAGAGTTTGCTGTATTAAACTGGGCAAGACTAAACGTGGCACAGTAGAGGCAGATGTAACATAGAACTAAAATTCTACTGTCACTATTCATAAAAATCCTGTTCTTACCACAGTCAGGGTCTTTAACTGGAGGAGATTTGTTTCATCTTTTAAGCACTGGTTAAGCAGGGGACTATACATGCTGTCTTCTTAAATAATTAAACTTTATAACTCCTTTTTCAATTAAGATGTGGGAAAAGACTAAGCAGAGTCCTCAAATTTTGCACTGTGATTCCATCACAGGGCTGCTCAACAAAAGAACTCTATAATATCTAGTTCCTGTTGTCACCAGTAGTCTTCACTTTCCCTTACACTTGTCTCAGTTTCCCAGAGATGCTCTGCCATGGTCTTGCTGCTCACAAACAGCAATTACAAGTAGATTATGCAAGTCATCACAACCACATGTTAAAAAATCCTTTATATGATGTCAATCCAACTGTATCCCCCATATGATCCTCACTGGAATTAGGCAATGTATTTTTAAAAGCTTCTGAAGTTTTAAGACTTTTTGTTGCAATTAATTGTGTAATTTTACCTTTAAGCCAGTTTTTTAATGGTATCTACATTTGGGAAGAACTGATACCAAATAATACCTGCTTAATAAACTTAACTGCTAATGAAAAATGCACCCAATTCTCCTCCTCCATCTGCATTTTGAATGTTCTTGAAAACTTGATCACAGAAATCCAGCTGCAAAGAACTCATGAGACCTTATTCTCCAGAAACACCCTGAAATATGTCTTTTGGAACTAGAAAGTAACAGTTTGATAGACAGACTGCTCAGTGGTATAAGCTCACTTCTCACACAAAGTCCTTCAAGAGGCCAGAATGTAAACCTCTGCTCAATCTAAAATGCATGCTATGTGCATCTAGCAAAAATACAGAGGCAGCATTGGAGGTGGATATGGAAGGTGACAGCCCTATGGTTAGGAAGAGCCCTCTGACAACCAGAGAAACCAGCAGATAAATCAATGCACACACTTCGTAAACTATTACTCCCATGTACCCCTTGGTCTGTCAACCCATCTCCCTCAAGCCTGCTTTGAAACTGAAAGCTCTAGTTCTTCAAAGTGCCATCCCCAGTCCTGTTGCGTTTGGTTCCCGTTTTTAAGGAAGGAAATTGCCGCCTTCTCTCTGAGTGCCAGTTCAGGAACTTTCGGTAGCGTAGGCAATACTGAATGCTGTCAGACATCAGGGACATGACTGGACACCCACGCTCTGCAGTGTAGGAGACATTGGGCACCAGCTCCACCAGCCCTGCCTGGCTCCCTGGCACAGCCCCAGATACTGGGGCTTTGGTTCTCCCCTCTGCAAAGCCAGCATCATCCCTCTGCACACAGTGCCTTATATATGTTATCATCTGTCAAGATGAAAAGTGCTACATCACATTAATGCCTGACTTTTCATTTACATTGAAGCAAGCTGGGGGGGTGTGACTCAGCTATAAAGTTGGAAGAAATTGTTATATAAACCAGCAGTAAAGAGGGATTTGTGTTAAGGACAATCAGGTCTGAAACACTGCACTATCTGAGCACAGCACTGATTTTTATCCTGTTTCTTCCTCTGCTTTTGAGCTGGAGGAAGAGTAAGAGGTACAGCAAATACTTTATGCTCTATGTTATTACAAGGTATTTACCCAGCTCTGGGGTACTCTGGGGCTTTCCAGTCTGCTGGCCATAAAGTATACCTAAGCATCTCCAGCTGGGGAAATTCAAAGATGAATTAAATATGAGCTGGGCAATTTTAAGTGGTGCTCTGAGATTTTGTGTCAGGGGAATGTTATTTTAAAGGAAGCAGCTTGCTGGGTGTCCAGACCAGGAAGGTAAAGAACACAGAAAGCGATGAGGAATTCAATGAACAATTTCAGTCAGGCATTATAAGCATCTAACTAACAGGGTGAGCCCAGTGCTTTGGCTTTGGAATTTAAACCAGTCACTAGATTGCACCTGAGTCTCCCATGACAATTACCAATCACTGCACGACCGCCCCCCCCCCCATATGGTTTAAATCAGAAGTGAAAGATGAAGGCAATAGAGAAAAAGCCTATTTCTGACAAAAACTTAAGGAAAGCAGACGCCCAGTATGTTTAGGTTCCTGCATGAAACACAATGACTTTGACAGTGAGTTTGAGCAGAGCAAATTCCATTCATAAATGGAGTGTCCCTTTATGGATGTATCTGTAAAGAACATCTTTTTCATTTTCTTTCCTTTATGAAGAATAACTTGCTTCCTCCCCCCTACTGTATGTCCCATGAAAATCAAATAGAGATGACCTAAATAT